TTCTATGCTTATCCAAGAAAAACTCGGGCGCGATATTTAGAAAATGAAATTGAACAGTCACATCAAGGGCAACAAGAGACTTCACAACTAGCAGAGGCAGTGTCGTTCGTCAAAACGAAATTAATTTCAGGGGATCTGTCTATTGGAATGCTTGTAGCGATAAAGTATTTACTCTGTTTATAGTGATGTTAATTTAAACTGTTTATCTCAGCTTCACATTGCTACATTGCGCCATGCTTACTCAGCCTCTCTCGTTTCTTAATCTAGAACTTTCCATCTCCATTACATCATCATTACATCATACCCACACATCCTTCGTCAGCAGATTTATTTTTAGAGTTAAAGTATAAATAATCGTAGATCAAGTTAGTAAGTCTCTTGAATTGAAGCAAACAGAACTCGATTTTCTCTACGCGTCTTCTCAACAGACCAACGGGTGAGATCGTTTTAATTTACTTTTTGTTAATAGTTCTCAACTGAAGATAAAGGTACGAACTATTAAATTGGTAACCACGACGTTCTTAACGACTTTCGAACACTTGTATTTTACATATTTACAGCTCGTGCATACCTCGTTTTCTGGTTCTTTCCCGTTTCACTTTCATCATGAATGATAACCCAGCCACGACCAGTTCTCCTAGTTCCTCGTCAACACCATCAAGCACCGCTTCTCATGCCGTTGCTGCAGTTAGCATCAAAATTCCTCCATTTTGGCCAAATGATCCTGCAGTCTGGTTCGCCCAAGTTGAAGCTCAATTTCTTACACGACAAATCACTGCACAGAACACAAAATTTGCCTATGTCATCTCCTCTCTTAGTCCCGAAATTGCTCAAGAAATCCGTGATTTAATTCTTTCGCCTCCTGCTGATCGTCCGTACGACACTTTAAAAATGGAACTTATCAGACGTACATCCGCCTCAGAACAACAGCGATTACAACAGTTGCTGATCTCCGAAGAATTAGGTGATAAGAAGCCTTCCCAATTCTTACGAAAATTGCGACAACTTTTAGGTGACAACCCCTTAGAAGACGGCCTCTTGAGACATCTTTTTCTTCAACGTTTGCCGACAAATGTAAAACTCATTCTTGCCTCCACTCCAGACACTGTCTCCATAGATGACTTGGCCTCACTTGCGGACAAAATCTTGGACGTTCCTCCTCCGCAGCACTCCCTGGCAGCCATATCTCCATTTCCAGAGTCTTCTGCACGAAAAGAGATTGAAGACTTGCGACTCCATGTAAACAATTTGACCACCCAATTGACCAATGTCATTAGTCAACTAGTCATCAGTCATCAGATCTCGTCTCGCTATCGTTCTCGCTCTCGCTCACGTGGTCGAAGTCCCCAACGCTCTGGTTCACGTAATTTCTCCTGTTTTTCTACCTCATCAGGCCCATTTTGTTGGTACCATCAACAGTTTGGATCCGCCGCTCGAAAATGCAATCCACCATGCTCATTTAAGGCCCCTGCTTCTCTTCACCAGTCGGAAAACTTCCAAGCCAGAGACTAGCGGCGACAAGTCCAACTGGCCATCAACACAACAGTCGCCTCTTTTACATCACAGATCGTACAACTGGTACACATTTTCTCGTGGATACTGGCGCTGATGTGAGTGTTTTTCCTCCAAGTCCTGCTGAAAAACGTCATATTTCTTCATTAATTCTCCAAGCTGTCAACCAATCCACCATCTCCACTTATGGTGAAAAATCTATGACATTAGATCTCGGACTTCGCCGTACGTACAGATGGATATTCATCATTGCTGACTTGACATTTTAGTTTGTTAACTTATGATGTAAAAATTATCAAAATTCGACAGAAGATAAATAAATACTTCGGGCCTCCGACGAAGGGGGCAGGGGGCCATGGCCCCCTCACTTTTTGCAAAACATTAGAGCTTTTTTAAAAAACCTTTTGTTGTCATTGTTATATTTTCTCTTGCCCCGCCCACTTTCCAACCTACGCTGGAGCCCATGATACTATAATTACTAAATGCACTAACCATTACGGGGGCGTCCATTTCAAGTGGCATATCTGCTGGTTCAGTGTCCATGGGATCAGCACTAGAAGTGAGGACATCGGTAGACGTGGAGGCTGCATTCTTTAACAACTGAAAGAGACACGAACAATCAACTTCTGGTCGAGATAAGGTCTTCAAAATGTCATTTCCGTTTATTACAATCGATTTGAAATGAACTCAGTTACCTGTCTACGACTCCTCGCAGATATCACCGCGTTTGATCGCTTCTTGGGTTCTTGAACAGAGGTGGAAACCGCTATACCGATTTCATCAGTGATAAGGCCTCTCCTATACGAAGATTCCATTCCAGGTACCGATGCGAACGGTCTGTCAAAGTCTGTCGGTAGGAAATGTTCTGAACAGACCACAGAAAATTTGGTATTTGTCCATTTTGCTCTCTTTCTCTTTACAAAATCAGTCCATTTCCTCCGCCTCTTCTTAGCTTCAAGCCTCTCGTCTCCGAAAAAAGTTATTGTCAGGCATGATTTCGAATAAAAGCATATGTTGTTTCCTGCAAAGCTTCTTTTCCTGTTCAAATGCTGTTCAATCTCTTGCCAAAGTTCCTGTTGTGACGTAACCAAGGCTAACTACCAGTCCTTTTCTCAATGCGCGGTAATTTTTAAAACTCCCCTCATATTACTAATTTTGTGGCGGCGCTACAAGGATTTTGCAACAAAAAATGACACTTTTATTCATAGATATCATTATTAACATAAAAGTTCTACTAAAAAAACGGCTTTTGGCATAAGGTGATATTCGCCCTTTAAAGCGTGGCGTGGTTTGGTCCCACACAACCCGAACTTTGATGGGATCTTTTTGCAACTTATATTTGTTGAATGAGAGTAAGAATGAAGTTTACAAAATCAGCGCATTTGAATAAGTCAGAGGTGCAAATAAAATTTTTTGGGTCCATTGCACTTTAAGAAAAGTTGGCAGAACTTGAAGTTTATGAGGTGACATTTAGTCAGTGGCAAAGCACTGACAGACCAATTAAACAGTGAACAGATTCTGCCTCTTACACAGAGATGCTAGTCTACTCTTTTGATATCCTCACATGTCATTAAGCTGGCTGACAATGAGTGTATAGTACTGATTGACTTTGCAGAGAACTATCAACTTATTGTGCAAGATGAGGTGCAAAGCTTTCATTGGAACAACCTACAGTGTACTTTGCACCCTGTTGCAATCTCTTTTATGGGTGATGACGGCACACTAAAGGAATCATCTCTCTGCGTATGCGCAGATGACATGTTTTGTTCATGAGGTGCATTGATTGGCTACTGAGTTTGTAAAGGAGACCCATCATAGTTACTTATGTCCACTATTATACCAATGGATGTCCAAAGCAGTACAAGAACTATAACAACTTTTTGAACTTGTGCTTTCACCATGATGACTATTTGTTATCAGCTGACTGAACTTTTTTCGCTACTAGCTACGGAAAGTCTCTATGTGATGGTATTGGAGGGACAGTTAAGCGCCTTACTGCAAGAGACAGTTTGCAAAGGCCTATTAACCAACAAATCTTAGGCTTAGATTCAATGTTCAGCTTCTGCTCTTCCAACATCAAACCCATGTGCTTTCGTTAAATGGAAAAGAGCAAATGTTACCCATCAGGGAGCAGCTTGAGAAGAGATACAAGGAGGGCTCCACCATACCTGGCAATCAAAGCTACCATTTTTACCAACAATAAGCGTGTCATTGAAGATAATGAGTACTGTGGGGAGTATGCAATCAAAGACATGCCGATTCTAGAGGTTTTCCAGCCAATGCAATTCGTTACTTGCAGATATGATGGGTTCTGGTGGATTGGCCTAATAGAGAACATTGACGAAGAACTTAAAGATGCTAGAATCAGGTTCATGCATCCACATGAACCTACAACAACAGTGCATTGGCCAACTAAAGATGATGTCTGTTGGGTTCCTTTTTCAGAGATTTTATGTACTTTACAAGCACCGACTACATATTCTGGTCGTATGTACATTCAAAATGCAACAGATACTGGAAGAATAGATAAATTGCCAGGACAACATTCAAATCGAAATATTGAGTCGGATTTTTAAATTTACGCATATACTTGGTGGTTATCACTCATCAATGTGGTTAGTCTATCTTGTAAACAAGCTTAATATTTAAAAAGGCTTTAAACTTCAATGGGACTTTGTCTCAGAAAGCATACAATTGATCAATTTACATTAAAATGAAGGTTAACCTTTACCCTTTGCAAAAATAGAAATTAAACCTTCATAGTCACATGGCAGAGTCATCAGCCGTGACCGGAGGAGCTGTACGAGATAGTGTGCGCTAGCACATGGGAACCTGCCTTTAGAGCTAAGCAAATGAAGCAATGACAAAGCATTGATATATAAAGGACAAAATAGGAACCCTACAGATAGGTTCGTTTAGTTTTCTAATACCATTTTGTCATCGTCCCAGCTCCCTACAGAGCTGCAGGAGGTTTGAGAGCTTCCTAGAGCTTCCGTTGTAGATAGTCCAGGGTTTCCTAGAGCAACGAGCAACACAAGTGATAAACTCGGAAAGGGTAATTATAAACTACACAAGGATGAATCAAGGCAACACGCCAATAAAACCGCATGTGAAGCCTGAGAAAGCCAGCTTTTTATATTCTCGGCGATTCATTGGTAAAAAAGATCAGGATCTAAATACCAAAGTTCCATACGCCAAAACATCAATAAAAACTTTCCCCGGTGCCACAATTGATCAAATGAAATCATATATCAAGCCTACTATAGACAACAAGCCAGATGGAATACTACTCATATGTGGAACAAACAACCTACGCTCTGAAGTTCTCAAAGAAACAGCAAATAAATTAATTGAATTGGCCACAGAGGCGCAAAAAGGAATGAGAAATGTTGCTGTTTCCAGAATCATAAGAAGGAGAGATTCGTAGGAATTGGAAAACAAGCGAAGAAAAGTAAATGACTTAGTCAAGGCAGGACTTTCTAGAAGCAAAATAAGCTTTATCGAACATGAAAATATTGAAAAAAAAAACACCTAGATAAATGGGGACTTCACCTGAACTACCAGGGAAATCGTATTTTGGCCGTGAACTTCATAAATTTTTTCAACAGCGAGTGACTAACCGTTACGGAACAGACATGTAACATTGAAATGGCCCATACATCCATTTTAATTAACCAAATCAAAAACCATCACATTACATATCTTCATGCGAACATATCGATTTGACCTTGTGTTCCAAATGCAAATCAGCTATCTACTCTAGCGACGCAAGTTCCCTTAATGTTAGTAAAAGTGATTCTTTCTTCATCCATATATGACAGTGAAATAGAAAATGAAACAGATAGGCTTTTTCAGCTTGGAAAAAATATCGCAAGAATCATGTATGTAATGTGGATTGGAAACATTTTCAGATTTCTGTTTGCTCTTTAGTAATATTTTCATACATATGCCAGAGATTTTGCCCATACTTTTTAAAAGAGAACAGCTTTTGGGTTAATTAATTGTCATTTTTTAAGTATATTCATTTTCTATGAGAGCTTTGTGTTAATGAAACTTATATTTTCTTATTCTTAGATGTTCCTGCATCTGTCTACCTAAATGCCTTCAAGAATTAGTGGTCATTTGAAGGAGTGATGTTCATTGGTAAAATTGCATTTGGACCATGATTTTATGCAGTTTTCAACATTGAACTGATGGCGGACATACATATCCTGACTGATTTTATCCATGCAAATGACTTTTATTGTCAGTTGGACAGAATATTTGTTTTCAGTTTAATTTTGAGTTTGATGCATTTGGGCCTAACATGCAAAGAACATTTTTCAATATTCTGTTGTACTGCTCAAGGGCAAGGTCAAGGGAAATATTTCCACCATAGCCATTCTGGTTTTTTGCAAGGCGATTCCAAATTAGACTGTAGGCTGCACAAGAAGAAAGAAGGCAATATGATTGGCATATTAGGTAGAAAGTTTCAAGGCTGTATTTAGAACTTTGCTTGCCATCAGCTTTTAGGTAAAGCAGCAAAAATTTCCAACGACGGAGAATTTGTTCACCATCTCATTCTGAAATGGCATCAATAAAATTTTCAACCACCATACCATAATCCATCAATGTCAATTGGTAGTTGTAGCAATCATCATAAAGTATGCAATCAGCATGAAAAGCTTCATGTTTTTTCCCACAGCACCGCCATAAGCAAAGGTTTTAGAGCATCCAGAGATGACTGCTATCCACACGGATTAATGCATCTATAGTGGGGCTTGCCATTTTGTTGCGCACTTTGCTTTTGAGGTGGTTCATTCTGGAAAAGATTCGCTCTAGTTCAGCATTTGAGTAGGGTAATGATCATAGACTCAGCGCAAGTTGAGCCACGTTATTGAATCGGGCCTCGCCAGCTGCATCTTTATACTGCTTGAAATGGCTCCAAAACATTATAGGGTCCTTCTTCAATTTTTCAGGAACATCTATTAATTTAATTTGTCGCAGCTCCTTGTTTACGT